CCCTGCCATTTTTCCTTTGTGCTTAAAAGACCAAAGCCACTGTTAGGGTACACATTGTGTCAAAATATTAACAGGGTTCAAAAGTGAGTGTACATACATGTGGCAGAAGTGAGTGGTCTGCTTTTAGAGAAGTGTGGCACCTCTTTTGAGATGAGCTGAACGGGACTCATTACTTCTGTGTTTTCAGATCATATGTTAAGAGCAGGAGGACCATTTGAAAGAAGACTAATTCTACAGCATGAATCTTAATCTGCCAGGGTTTTACAGGAAACTCATTTTGTTGTCTGGGTAATAGGTTGGGAAGTTGTTCTGAATTCTGTTATTCATGTACAAACTTACATTTCATGATCTTCTGAAGACATCTGCATTAGCTAATTTTCTAGCTCTAATGTTATCATCACAATAGCTGCCTTTCTCCTTACCCCACCCTTTACATTTTATGTCTTTGGGCGTCAGGTGGTGGGGTAATTCTTTTATCTTAGTTTCTCTGTAACTTTAGGAACAAAAGAAGCCAAATCACATTTCACCACATAATTTGGTTATAAAAATAAAAGTGGCCCAAACTGCATATGCATCTTTCTAGTTAAATTATACAGACACATTAGTTAAACCACTTACTTCTCTAGTTTAATGGGAATGTGGGTTTGCAGTTAGAAACCTGAAAAGATTTTTGAATGTTGAAAATATTGTTTCTCTTTTCACCTGTGAAGTTAGAAATAAAACACAACTACAACCACACAGTTCATCAACCATCTACTGTCCAAAATGACATGGTACATATCTATGCAACTGTACACCAAGAAGTGGACTACACACCAAATGCTTCAAGTACGACTCATGCCAACATCATGAGGAATCATAACATTCTTGAAATTTTATACACTTGTCCTCTAGGAGGACATTGCAGGAAAGCAATTTACAAAGACCATGGCTGTATTATCGTACTTTTTTTAAAAAAAGAAAAAAATAGTTTCTTTGGATAGAAAGAAACAGTGTAAAAATCTCCTTTTTAAAATGCAGAAGTCGCTCCATTATTAATCTGCATTTACATTACCGCCTGAAAGAACAGAACGGGTCTGGGAAGACCATTTTCTGTACAGACACTGGTTAATCTCTGAATGAAAGGACAGACAGCATCTGTCGTGGGAACAAATGTGGGGGACACTAGGCTGTTAGCACACGTAGAGACTTTCTTAAGGCTGACCCAGTGGCGACCCTTTGGATCCAGAAGAATTTCTTCATTTCTTTTCAGTTGAGTTCCGGTAACAACTTGGAAGGTTCGTTGCTCTAACTTTGAATTCCTCCACTACAGAAAGTATAGAATAATGACACCAAAAGTACTTTGGTTTTTCGTTTTTTTTTTTCTTTAGAAAATAATTTGCCTTCTTTTGCATGCCACAGGACAGATTTCTAATTTCAAAACAAAGGAACAACAAGGACAAGACTCTCCCCCATCCCGACCACTTTTACTTTCACCTCTACAGGAAATCCTTCAGGAGACATCAGCAAGAGACTAAACAGTTACCAAATTACCAAATCTACAAGTTCATACAGGCTGTCATGGCAGAATAACCAAGAATTTTCCCCAAAGAAAGGTTTAAATTTTTCAAACATAAGAGAGTCTAAGAGAATCATATGAGAACCAACAAAACAAAACAAAAATACGTAACACCCCCCCCCCCACTCTGATTCCTATTTTTGTTTTAAGAAGAAATGAGTACACCACACTGGCAGCTGAAGACAGGTGAAATGCTCACTAATAAATAGATCAAAATTAAGAATGTCTACACTGTTGTTTTAGAAACAGGACCAGAATTCCTCATAAAATGATGACTCTGTGGAATGCCTTTACTTTCATATTCACCTAATATTGCAACAGTAAAATAGATGTAAGAGTGTTGGTAACAGCTCAACAGTGCTGGACTGTGGACATTACAGGTACACTTTTGTTAGAAGTCCTACAGGTTTATTGACTAAGGCTAGACAGCAATTCAAATGATCCTATTTGGTACATCTACCATGTCCAAGATCATTACATGGATACAGCCAAGGACTGGGCCTCAACTTTTAGGAAAAAGACCACAAGGAAGAAAATCAAGGTGGCTATTTGGTCCCCCCCAGTTGATAACTGTGTCCTGGAACTGGAAAAACAAAGGTGGAAAAACATAGACTGCAACAAGTTAAAGGACTTGGAAAAAGTTGGTGGAAAGTGGCACGGTATACAAGTAAGGTCACTGGGCTTGGGACGGCAAGGGCGCTGCATTGAAAGAGCATCCACGGGACCAAGTACTTATAATGTCTGGTGGTGTCATTCCCTCACAATTTTTATTTGTATGTGGTAATAAATAGATCAGTTATGTAATAAGGCAGTGTGTTGAATATGCATTCGTCCTGTGGAATGAACCACCACAGAAAGATCCATGGTACCATACACATTCTTTAGGTTTGCTTGTGTTGCGTCTGCGTGTTTTCAAGGCTAGCCAGGCTAACTCTTCCTGGGATTTCCTTGGAGAGGCGTGTCCTCTGAGGCTGGTTTGCGTAACCTCTCCTTTATCAAGAGATGATGACTGGCTTTAAAGAAAAATAAAGCTGAAGGTTGTTTGATTTTTATTTTTTTCCCTTTTGGTTGTATCATTCTGAATGTTTTCATATAAACAACAACAACAACAAAAAAATCACAACCAAAAAAAAAAATAGTTTTTGATGTATCCAGTTGTTGTATCCTCAGGATGTTCCAGATGTTTCCAGGTAACTCTGTAATTTACGCACTGTAGTTTTGTCCAGCGAGCAAAGATCAAAATCAAATGTGGTATTTGTAATATGAAAGTGTCCAGTTTCTTCTATAAGGTTCACGATCTGAAGAAGTAAAGAAGAAAAAGTGTGGGTGTAAGCAACAGACATCACAGGCAAAGGAAAAGAAGTGCGGGACTCAAACATGGAGCCAAGTGATAAACGTTCTTATTAATCACAAGCTCCTATTACAACACTACTACCAAACTGCCTGGTAGTCAATTCGGTAAGTCAAAGATATAGTAAGCATTTAAAATAAAATCCTCAAAGGGACACACCATCTGCTTTTACTTTTCATACTCAATAAACCAATTGAAATTACCAACAGAACATTTTACTAAGATGGTTAAGGATAGATGACAGTTCAAGACTTTTTTTTTTAAACAATTAGTCATTGACTCAAAAGACAGTATTTTAGTAGGTGTAAGAAGATCATCAGCTAGAAATAAAATTCTTCCTAAAAAAGAACACATGAATTAAAAAAAAAAGTTCCAGGATGGAGAGATGGCTCAGTGGTTAAGAACACTGTATCCCAGGACCCACAATGGTTGTTCACAAACACCTGTAACTTCAGTTCCAGGGGTTCCAATACTGTTTTCTGATCTCTGCGAGCACCAGACATGCACATGGTTGCTTATACATAAATGTAGGCAAAACACTAGTACACAGAAAATTAAATCTTAAAAAAAACAATGTTCTGAATATGGAATGATGAAATATTTAGAAAATATAAGAATACATAGAGCAAAACACAGGAGGGGCTCCAGAGAGCCTGTGGGAGGACTTCAGGGGGCTTCCAGGGATGCTTGAACTGTTGTGTTGTTGAATGTGGAAGCAGCTCTGCGGGCTGCATTTACTTTGTGGAAATTCACTGCACTGTATATGTTACATAAGAACATACATGTATTGCATTCTGTTGTATTCAATGAATTCTCTTGAATAACTGGGAAGAACAAACTTTACCAAGAAGAGAAATCAGTGTCTTTGTGCCCTAAAAGTAAAGTAGTCACATTTCCTTTCTTACTGTATTGGCTACAACCCACAGTGGTAACATGTTTCCTGGGTGTGGGGGACTTCCATCCATAGGTCAGCAATGATAATCATGCATGGCATGGCCTTGATTGATTTCTTTACCATGTAAAGTATTCTTCCATTGGCAACAATTTGTTAATAGAAATAGATGCTGCTGGGCAATGATGTACAAGCTTTCAACCCCAGCATTCAGGAGGCAGAGGAAGACAGGAAGTACAGGAAGTTCGAGGCTAGCTGAGTCTACTAATTGAGTTCCAGGACAGCCAGGGTTACACAGAGAAGCCCTATCTTGGATAACCATATAGATTTTGGTAAACTTCATGACGGAGGGCAGATGGGGCAAGAGGACAGATTTTCACACAGAGGTTTCACTTGGCAATTTCCATTCTTATTTGATTCTCTTTAGTTCAATTATCTTAAAAAATGATATAATTATTTAGCCTATGACTTATTCAGTCAAGTTTTAAATTATGTAACACTAAGATGGAAAACTGCAGAACTAAAACTTAAAAAACTTCTTTTCTTAAAGCTGGTTTCCTGAAAGCATTTGTGAATGAATCCCCGTAGGTCATAAAAAGTGCTCCCGGCAACACCCACAAAAACACAGAATGGACAACTCTCAATCCAATTAATTGCCCAGTTCCAGGTTGAGCTCTGATTGTTTCATCTGAGCCCTGCAACTGTTTGGGGGAGCTAAAACTCTGGCTTTAATAACAAAGTCACTCTGGTTGGGGAACTATGACAGACATTGCAAACTGATGACCTAACATGCCATTTACTTTGTCGATGTTACTGATTTTCTCACAATGGCATGTCCAGCTAAAATGCCTGTCTCCTTAGACCCATTTGTAGCCTTTGGCAGACACTACCACTCACTTGTTAGAAGTCACTGGGCTTTTAGGAAAATTCTTGAGGTCATAGACAATAGCATATGCCCTTTATCTTCGGCCTTTCTTCTAATGAAGATACATGTTTGGGGATGTAATAGCTATCTTTCTCTCGAAAGATGAATGCATGAAAGAGGCAGAACAGAAACAGAGTCTACATTATTAGCATCACCTTTTAAACCTAACGTGTAGCCTGGCTTACTTGGCTGCAGGCAGACTGCTATGTGTTAGGATGAAGTAGCTTACAGTGTCTTACTTGCTTGCGCTGCTGGACTCAGAAGATTATTAGAAGGGATGTGCCCACTTATTGTTAAAGCACATCACTTATACAGGACTAAACAAGAGCTTACTATCATAAAGACACTGTGGATGATGCTGTAATTTCAGCATTCAAGGAGGCTGAATTGAACATAGAATTAGTATTCTATGTTCAAGGCCAGCCTGGGCTAATGGGGCTGAGAACAAAACAAAAATAAGGAACACAAAACAAAAGCAAAAAACAAAAACAAAAAACCTCAAACAATTATCTCTACATATGTACAAACAAAAACCAACCAATGAAAGAAAGTCATCAATTGACACAAAAGACCTTAAATGGACACACACTTGTTTTAGTAGCTAATAATTTATAAACCGCACACACAGAGACTTACAGCATAGCTATTTCTATACATACAAAACTTCATGGATACTTAATATATAGAAAGATGAACTTGTTAAATTAAAGCATTCTTTCCTAAGCATGTTATCTTTTTTACATTATGCAGGTAAACTGTGATCCCAGTAAAACCTTGTAGATTTTAGTTATAGGACACTGGTTCTCAACCTGTGGATCATGACTCCTTTGCCAAACCTCCATTTCCCAAAATATTTACATTATAATTCGTAACCATAACAAAATTACAGTGATGAAGCAACAATAAAAATAATTTTATGGTTGGGGGTCACCACAACATGAGGAAGGGACACAGCCTTAGGAAGGTTGAGAACCCCTGTTATAGGAAGTTAGGTATTGTGGCACACATCTGTCAGTCTAACTTACAGGAGGCTGAGTCAGGAGGACTGGAGGCTCAAGGCTTAGCAGGGTCACATGGTAAGATTCTGTCTCAAAATAATAGCAATCAGATCAAAACAGGAACAAACAGCTTCCTTGGAGCTCTTGTAATTAGAAATTTTTACAATGGAGGCAAATGCCACGAAGTCCAGCATTCCCACAACCAAACGTACAGAGGGAAAACAACAACTGCACACTAAGAAGAGAGTCCTGAATCTGGCATATGGAGATCTGACTGCTCACTATGTGACCGTCACTGTGTCTTCATCTGGAAGATGGGGCTAAAGCACATACTCTGCTCCACACAACAGGCTGTCAGAGAATCAAGTAAGATACAAGTACCACTTGCTACAGGACCAAGGCACTGTGGCTACAAGTACTATATAAACAGAAATGTCTTCTGAATTACCTGTAGGGAGAAGTAAGCAACACAGGACTGTCAGGCTTGCTGCATCTCCCTACAGCCCTCATGACTGCAGGCCATTTTACTCCACTAAAACAAATTAAGCAAAAAAGAGGGACACGGAAGGCTCCTGTGACAATCCCTACCCCAACCCACACCCCCACAAAGTAACAGCCTAGACAGGAAACCATCAAACATAACTCCTTAAAAACTGTGATAAGGATGTTAAAGTGTAGCTCTTCACAATTAATGGTTTCTGGTAGGGTGTTGAGGGGGAAGGACTCAGTTTTCTTTAATGGGCTGGCCAGTAGGGGTTTGACCATGCTCCAGTGAGGACATAGGCAACACAAATTTTTTCTCTTTTTTTTTTTGGGGGGGGGGACCTGGGAGGACTGAGAAGTGTGATCAGGGTGCATGATGTGAAATTGCCAAAATAATAAAAATATTATGTTGGGAAAAAATGCAGGAAGGAAAACCCAGATAGGCCCCACTGAATTTGCTTTTAATAACTAAGAGTTTCAGGCAGAAGGTGTAACCTGGATAAAGCCAAGTTGTCGGAGTGATTAGAAACCACAATGTAGTGCTACAGAAGTAGAGCCCAACATTTGATTTGATTTGTGTTGCTATTGTTTTGAATGACAGGGAATGCACCCTTTCAGGAAAATAGCTTTTTATGACTCAATATAGTCACTTACAGTTACTTAGTAATAAATTGAAATGTGGATGATAAGAATTGTCTGTAGAAAAAAGTCACTTAATTTTAAATCACAAAAACTTCTGGTCACTAGGAAACCCACTCAGCCTAGTAAGGGTTCCCAGAACTCACAGGCCAGCCTCCCATCTCTGCTGCCACAGGATCTCACTCTTGCTATAGCACACACAGGAGCTGATAGAGTTAACAAAAGACCCCTGAATTTCCATGGGGTTTGTGAAAATACATCGAGGCAGATGCAAACGTAGACCTAAGGAGTAGCCAAGGCAAATGCATTTGGGAGAGTTTGGTCCTATTCACCAATAAGAAGAATATTAATAGTTTGAGTTATTAGAGCATGCACTAATGTCCTCAATTAAATGAAGGCTCTGTAAAGATACACACTCTGTTTCAGGACTCCCGATGCCAGAACGTCAGAACACAACATTAGCATGTGCTAGTTCAACCAAATTGGCCACAAATCATGAAAACACCCATTAATCCCTGAAGGACTGAGCACCCTCTGCATTTCTAAGGGAATGCCCTGTCTGCTGATGCAGTGTGGCTCAACTGTGGTGTCATTATGCTGCTTCAAAGTGGTTCCAGTGCCCACACATGATAGTAACAGAAGCCAGAGAGGCTACCGATAAGAAAAGCACATGAGGACAGGGTACAGGATGGGAGTGTGAAAGGAAATAGGTGTAAACTACTTTCACAGGTGGTGGAGGTGGGATTTACCATGCAGCTGCTAGTTGTTTTGTTGTGTGTTAACAGGGTATGATCTACTTGTTATTTCAGTGGTTCCCTCTTCAAATCCATTTTTAATTATAAAAATGTAGATACATTACTTTTAGTCTGATTTTTTTTTTTCAAAATACCAGGGCAGTTTACTCCTATCCAAATTGGCCACTTACTGAGTGGGAAGCCATGAACAATCTTTGCTTTGACTTTATTTATAATGGAGTTGGTCTGTTGTAACTCAGGTCTTTCATTTGTACATAGGAAACCATACTGCCATATGAAAACATGAGCTGCCATGAGCACACAGTTGAGGGACTGTGCCCTCATCTCACCATGTGAGGATACCTGGCTCTAGTCTACAAGGGATTTTAGGACTTGACAGTTAATTTCCCAGATCATTTTTAGTAGAATACTTCTTGGGAAAGGTTCTCTGTGTTGCTAAGAATATTCCAATATGCTTTTAGTCCTGCAACCTTGATGATAATTCTACAAGACAACTAGATGGTATCAAAATTGATGAAGTGTCCTTTAAGGAAGTCCTGGTTCCCCTAACTTTCTTCTTACTTCCTCCTCTCTTCCCCTTCTTTGTGTGTGTGTGTGTGTGTGTGTGTGTGTGTGTGTGTGTGTATGTATGTATGTATATATGTGTATATATATATATACACATATACACACATATGTGTGTATATGTGTGTGTGTGTGTGTGTGTGTGTGTGTGTGTGTGTGTGTGTGTGTGTGTGTGTGTACTTTTTTTCCTTTGATAATAGGATGCAATCCCAGGCTGAACTGATGAGGCCAGAAATGCTCAACCTCAGTTTGAAAATAAATATGGAATGTATAGTTTAACAAGGAAACAAATTATTAACCAAAGCTAGATACCCACTTCCTGCTTTGACTGTGCCTACTGTATTTTTACCCAATGGAAAGAAGACTTAGGAATGCAGTCTTTTCTGATCTAATGCTCTCTTTTCATGAAAGTAGATATTGACAGCCAGGGCAGCATGCCCCCAGAGTAAAATAATGCTACTAGCCAGCTTTTGTGAGACAAATAAAATTGTCAGAACATAGTTTTGGAGTAGGGTACCTTAAAGGAAGAAGCCCAGGATGCTCTTCTGGCCTCAGCAAAGTTTTGGCTCAGACATTCAGTTCTGCCCAGGAGTGGTTACACAGACTTTGTGGAATGCATTTCATCGGCTAAGCGGCCCTCAAGGTGGGGAATATCATCAGCCCTCCACTGTGCTATGCTTTACAATATGAATTAATTAAGCAGTAAACCGTGACAGGGCATATATCACGGTATCAGAATCACAAGCCTCAGTTGCATTACAAGGCAAATGGCCAAAGATAGAGCTTTCAGCTGGCCTGGAATGCAATTAGGGTGAAATGCTGTGTGCCCTGGAGTGCCTTTATGCCAGGTTAAAAATTCATAGCTATTACTCTGTCCCTCTAGAATACTAAAGTAATCCGCTTGTAAGCAATTCTCAAGTAAGCCACCTTCACTCACAGTTCTTTCAAAGGTCAAAATATAGAACATTAGATCGAGGGTGCCAATGATATTTCCAGGCGAGACCTCGCCCAACAGCCTACTCCTCCAAGCTTCCTGACACCTGTGAAACCTACAACTGGGGGTCCAGTTTGGCATCAACAGCTTTTTCTGACAAGTGCTCTTTAGTCGTAGAGTTACTGTTTGGGAGCAGTTAGGAAGACAAGCTACCAGATTTATCATCAGCATTTAGTCAGTGAGCCAATTTCTATTCTATTAAAGGAGGCTGAAGAAAGTATAGTTAGTAGGGTCTTCTGTATCCCAGGTTCTTCGTCCTCAGATATAACACACTATGGACTGAAAATACTTGGAGAAAAGAAATGTCTTTACTGAACTTTCCATTATTCCCCATATAATATAGAATAACAATGATTTGCATGACATCTGCATTGTATTAGGTATAAGAAGTAACCCAATAATGAGGAGAATAAGGGAAGATATACAAAGGTAATATGCAAATATATGACCACGTGAGGAGGCGAGTACTCTGATGTTGTGAGAGAAGGATGAAATGACTACCAGTAAAGAGCTAAACATGCCTCAAAGACACTCAAATCCAGCTCCTCTACTTATGCTCACTTAAAAGGACATGCAAAGCCTAGAACTTACCTAAATTTGAGACTCACAGGTCTACAGACAAAGTCTATTATTGCAAATTCTAGAAGGGTTAAAAGTTTATTAGACCAAGAGATGCTGGCTAATTTGAGATTATTTATAGACTGAAGCAGACATATACACAGGATATAAATGCAACCATCAACCATCAACATTAAAAAAATAGTTCAGATACTACTAAGGTAGAATAAATACTAATTTCAACTCACTTTAAGGTAGTAAAAACAAAATAAGTGAAGCAATGCACAAATCTCCTATGGAATCTGGAACACATAGCCTCCCAAGTGTTAAAGGAAAATTACCTTACCAATAGCCACTGTAATGGAATAAAGGCATGGACTGTACTTGTACAAAAACTAGAAACCACCCCTCTTATCTTCTCAAAACATCACATTGAGCTAACAGAAGTTTCCTCATGCTATGAGCATTACAGAGTTGAGTTCATGATAATACAATGTATGTTATACAAGATAAGGGGAATGAAAAAAAATATTTATTTTCCGTAGAATAGACTGGCAAAAGGTTACCAAACTGAGTGACAAATGTTTACAACACTTGACTTAAATTCTTATCACTGTTTTCCCATGAAACCAGAAGCCTGGTCTCCAAAGTTTCTGCATTCTCCTGACCTCTTTTTTTTAGCCCATATATGCTATGAGTTGGAAGGAAGGAGCACCATGTCTGGTATTAGTTTCATGGAGTGCTCCAAAGGGCATTCTGGGTAGCCTCAAATATTTAAGTCTTCCCCAAATATCCCTACAGGCACAATTGCAATTCTGTTTGTGTGAAGTTGCTGTGGCCTCCGTGTGCTACCATACTACTCCAGGACAAACAAGGCCTTGAGGCTGGGGAAAAGGGTTGTGCTAAAAAGCATTTCTCACCTGCTGCAGAATGTGTCTTTCCCTCAGTGTCATTAACCTTCTGTGGAGTTCTACCAACTCATCTAGGTATGCCTGAAAGAGAAGGGTGTTCCCCAAAGAACAAAACTTTAAAACGCAGTTGGTGAGTAGGAACATACATGCAGGGGTGGCTTGGCAGTTCAGATCATATACTGCTCTTGCAGAGGACCCAAGTTCAGTTCCCAGCACCAATGTCACATGGTTCACAGTTGCCTGTAACTCCAGCTCCAGACGATCCAACACACTCTTCTGACTTCTGTCGGCACATGTACTCATGTGCGTGCGCGCGCACGCGCGCGCGCGCACACACACACACACTTTAAAATACAATAAATCTTTAAAAAAATCATCCATGCAGAGCTTAGGGTCTTCATTCCACCATGATATACTAAACTACATGGACACCATGTTCACAGTCTTCTGTTGGTGAAGTTTCTTATCCTGATTTTGATCTTTATCAAACCTGCCTTAAAGGGGGGAGGGCAATTCCTGAGTCTGTTGCTCTCAACAACATTCAAGTGAGTAGACTCAGTTTCCCACAACAAGGACTCTGCAGGGAATACTGGAAATCCAATGCTACATTGTCAGTTTACACTAATGATAGCAGAGGCATTTTCATTTTTTAATTCTTCAATCTCAAAAAATTTTAGATAAGGACAAAACACCTAAGCTTGAACGTGGAAGTATCAAATCATGTTTTGTTAGGAAAATGAGTTCTTAATAAGAGGGATAAAAAGGTTCTCGAGTATTCCAAATGTTATATAACCGATGCCAGTAAATGACTATAGAACAGAATAGTCTATGACATGCAGAAATCACTATGCAAATTAGTTCTATGTTCAAACAGCTCTCTCAAAAGGGTAACTGAACCTCTCCTTCATATGTTCAGACTCATGAATCCTAGAGAGCTGACTGCATGGGTGCCTCAAGGCCAACTTCAGTAAAGGCAAAGGGGGAGATTACTGACATGTTAAACCCCACCCATAATAGGTGACTGACATTTCTCTAAGTCTTAAAGTTGGAGTTTATACATATCATAGACACACTGAAAAAGCACAGGGGTTAGGTATCTTTCTTATGTATGTGATATGATCTGCCGTTGCTGAATCTTCATATATCCCAATGTAATGTGCCTGAAGTTCCTTAGTAATGTGGGAATCATGACAAATGGTAACATAAGGTCATGCTGACTACTGAAGATAAAAGCAAGACAGGGAGAAAGGAGCTACAAAGCACATGGATGAAGCATTCACTTGGGAGTCTTGCTTACTTCTGGTGGCAATGAGAGGAGAGCCAGCAAAGATGAGGGGAACACAAAGAAACAAAGACATGCCAGGCTGTAGCACTCCTGGGAAACCTACCTTGTCACATTCACCATTCTTTATCTGCTTATCTGATTTGCTTTGCTTTATTGGACTTTTCACTTCAAGAATCTAGGGATCAAAGAAAACAAGGTCAATTTCACTTCAAGCACCTTCTAGCTAGCTACTCACAAAAACAAAAGCACTCAAAATGCACAGCATTGTTGCCCAAATAGCGTTTCTCTACACAATTTTCTTCTTTTCTAATCTTGCTCCCCACCCCTAACCCCCTGGAAAATAAATTACTTGTATATTAACTGCTGAGTCAGAGCAGTAGAGCTTAGGGAAACGTGGATGATAAGGAAACCGATCTGAGCTTCCCAGGCACTTTTCTTTCACGACAGCACTCACGCATGCACAGCCGAGTTATTTTGAGACTGCCGTCCCGGCTGGCAGGACTTTCTTCCTGCTTATTCTGCTGCTTCAGCATGAGTGCTTGGTGGGCTAGGAATGATAAAACAGCCCTTGCCCTCTGGAGCACCTGCCTTTCAGATGCTAGCTACTCACTCCACTAAATGGGTGCAATTTGGGAGTGAAGGTTCCCATCAGTCAGTCACAGTCTGGTATCCTTTGATGGCAGAAACAGTTGTGTTTGAAGAAGTGATGTGATTATGTGTGACACAATGCCAGGTGCCTTTCCTTTCACCTGGACTGACTGTAATTCCACACACTGTTCAGAAGCCTATGTGGGGAGCTACACTCATAATTGACCAAGAGAATACTACTGTTTAATAAATGCCACTGATTTATTTTACAGGATCTTCAAAATGGAAGGCTCTAGGAGAAATATTTTTAAATGGCCCTAGCTTGAAAAGGCTGAGTATAACTGCATTTATTAATGATGAGTGCTTTCAAATGCGCATACACATAACAGTGGAGCAATTTATATTTCTCTCATCATAACCTCAATCCTATAATCAGGAACTAATATCAAGGAGGAAAATGCTAAGGATGTAAAAGTCCCATATTCCTCCTATTCCCTATACTGTATCCTGTCCTGATTCCATTTAGAGTTTTGTTGCCCATCTACTATACAGTACATAAACGATCTTAAAATCTTAAGAATATGTTTACTTTTAACTTGTACTGTCAAAAGCTTGGGGCTGGATGTCTTGCCTTATCATTTACTATCTTAGGGCCCCCAAATTTGAATGAGACAACATGACAATGCCTGTATTGCCATTCAGCTATAAAATTTTATACTACTAATAAATAAGTATTCTATTTGGCAATAATAATATCATGGTATTCTGGCATGAATGAATACTCCTAAATAAAGTATTTCTTTGAGTTGAAACTATGCATGAATAACATTTATTCTAACACTTTTCCTGAGATTCACCTTCATTTTTAACATTAAAATAAGCAAATGACTGATTTGGCCAGGCTAACTTAAAATACTACCCTTCTGGCAACAGAAGGAAATTACCAAACAGCACAGGCAAAGCAATCATTTTTAACATGCTCAGAAACCTCCACTGCATTTGGAATTTCCTCCTCTTTATTGTTGCCAGAAATGAGACCTCAAGGGAAAAAGCACAGAGACCTGGAGTAAGTAGGTCAGTAGATGGCACTCCTGGCCAACTCAGCACTGGCTTGGGCCACACAGAGACAATCCGCAGTGATTTGAGGCAGGAAGAAGAAAACAGCCCTGCCTTTTGCCTTGTGCTTCAGAGAACTGAATTTGTTCCCATCACATCTGTCCCTCCCACGGCCCCATCCCCCACTCCTTGCTTTCCAAGTGTCTGAAGATGCTATATTTGCAAAGGAACTTTACAAGCCAGGTTTAGATAGACCTGCAACCTCTCTTCAAAGCAGAAAGTAGGTAGAACATTTGGGTGCTTAAGTCCAACTCCACACATTCCAAAAGTGCGACAGCACAGAAGGCCAAAATACATTGAAACCCTAGTTTCTTTCTTCTGAGGCCCTGGTAGCAGGAACAAAAGCCCGGGTGTCAGTGACCCGCCTCAAGTTACTGAGTGGCTGCCCAGAGAGGGCTCAGTTAATCTTCCTTCTTTGATCTCTCTCTGCTCCAAAATAAACAGCTTTGTCAAAACCTCATTCTGAGAGAACTGAGCCATGCTGGAGACAATTGTTTTATTTATGATCATTTCTTATCTTCAGGGACTGACTCCAGAATATAAAAAAGTACAACACCTTGTCTTCCACAGGCTTATTTCAAACCAGTTTAACTGGACAGACTCTTTTGAATTTCACCCATGCCTGGCAGGCCCATGGGTGATTTAAGATATTCTGAAATTAGCTGGATCCAGGGGATCGATTCATCCCTGGAATCTTCATATCCTTCTTCCCTGTACTATACTTGGCTAAAAAGATGGGGGTTTGTTTGCAATTTATACATGGTGTGTTTGTGGTGGGGAAAAAGAGCCATCTTTGGTTAAACAATCATAAAACTTTTTATTATTTACCAATAAACTGAGTAGAGGGAAACAGCCACCCAAACCACTGAATTAAACCACCAACAGACATGGTAATCTCTGAAAACAAAGGACGCTTGATTAGGAGTTACTTCATCCTTAATCTAAGAATGTGGCTTGGGAACCAAATTTTCAACATTATATTTTTCTGGATCCCTTTGTGAGAAATATTGAGTCAATCATGCATAAGATAGATTATCTATAGGCAGATTTTCTATGTTAGCCACTATTAACTTCTAGTGACACTTGTATTAACTTCTTTACTGTGCTGACATGTGGCTCTATGTTCTTTCTTCAGTAAATAGAAAATTAACTATTCAATTAGCACTTATCCCTTCCTTGGACACTGGGAGGTTTGAGATGGGGCAACAGACAGTTCTGTTGTGTCTGACACTCAAAGTTACAAGATCATTATCAAGTATGGAAATAGGGCATATTTATGGCTTGGAAATAGAATGTTCCGCAAGGGCTCTTGTGGTGAAGGCTTGGTTCCTACTACAAAATGTTCAGAGATAGGGATTTGAGAAAATAACTAGATCATAAGGGGTCTATCTTAATCAGCAGATGGATCTACTGATAGGCTTGTAAATTGACAGAAATTTAGAAGATAATCTAGTTGAAGACAGTAGGTTCCTGGCAGTCATATCTTACTTCTCTTTCTCTTCCTCTATGCTGTTTCTTGTTTACATGAGGTTTGTTCATCAAATGAATCCCACCATGATGCTCCACCTCATCATGTTTGTTGATGGTAAATGGAGAGTAAAACTCAGGGATTTTAACAATAAAGCTTGCCAGATGATTAGGTAAGCAGCCAGCCACTAGAGCTCTTACCTCTACAGATCTTCAGACTGAAAAAAAGAGAGTGAGTTCTTGTCTCCTCTCACCTATATTCCTCTCTTCAACCAGACATCTTACTGCCTGTCTGTCTGTACAGACCTCCAGACCTCTATGGTTAGCTAGTGGCTAGCTCTGCCCTCTGATCTTCAGGCAAGCTACATTTGTACAAACAAGGTATCACACCACACGGGCCTTTCCAGTTTTCACCACCCTTTTTATTTGATGTGAAATTTCAGATACCCCTGTACCACCCCATGTTTGTAGACATGAGCTCTCTAGTGCATCCCCTTACACATTCATCTAAAGTATTAAACACATTCCAGGATGAAATTTGGGGGACTTTTAAAGAAAATTTTGGTGTCTCATTGTATAACAGAAATACTGATGATATTTTTCTTAATGGCTTTGAACGGTGACTTAAAGGAATCCTATCAGACCTGACCCACAGCATGTAATTGGGGGTAAGAAATCACTACTGATTTTCAAAACCCATTTCTTGCTCTAAGCCTCAAGACATAGGTTATGAGGTAAGGACTTCTGTTATACACAATGTCCTACCCCACACTAGCTAACACTGAAAGCATATGGACTTTATTCTTATGCTCATAGGTGCACTGAGAAAGGGACACACAACTGAAGCTACATGTATTAAATGAACATTCCAAGAAAATAGCAATATACTACTTAATCAAATAAAGTGTATTTTATCCTCCTAGATAGATGGTATTATTTATTTGGGTTTGGTTTGCTAGACAGGTAGCAATTTTGACAAAGAATCTACACTTTCCCTAGAACCAAATTCAGTTCAATACTGTCCATTCAGTAAGAGCAAAATAGGAGCTGGATGGAGCCATGATTACATGGCAAGCCATCTGATCACAGTGCCTGGAAGAGATGCTGAAGATAGCTGGAGAGAGCATAAAGGCATGCCCAGTGTGCCTAAATCTTGACATTCCTACTCTAAGAATCCTAATTCTGATATACTGTCCCCTGGAAGTAGAAAAAAAAGGCCTTTATAAGGTTAAATCAGATATAAAATATGTCAAGGTCCTAATTCTATTCTTTTGCTAGCTTTTACTAAAGTACATGTTTATAAAAAAAATTTTGCTTTTGTCTCTTGTTAACTAGTTAACTAGTTCTCCTCATGATGCTTTCCCATGGAACTCTTGGCCTGTGGTAGAAGGCAACTATGCTAGGAAGTAAGTTGGCCAGACAAACAGCATGGCTGGTTGTTGAGATGAAGAAAGCTAAGATGGCAAAGCCAGGCTAAGAATGAGGAAGCTGGACTCCACACCCATGTAGAACAGAAACTCAGCTAACTGTATAACACGGCAGGTGCTGCTCCTATCCAACAATGAAGGACTTAGGCTGCAGACAAACTTTATAAATGATGGATTTTAAAATTTAAGTGAGCATTGCTTCTTGATTCAAAACACATGAAAGAAAATATCCTCACAGCAGTAATACCGCATTTTCCAACTAAAACAAAGATCACTAATTCAGGGGCAAGATATTTTAAATAGCAGAACACTTATGAAATGGAATAATTTTAGAAAATGCAACCCTTTAATTTTCACGTTAATATTCATATGGCAACTTGAATTAAGCAATTATTGCAGAGGTCATAGGAAATCTGCCTACACAAAAAGATAAGAATAACTTACTGTAATGAGTATGAACTCAATGCATAATGGGACTTTTACAATATTCATGATGCTTGAAAACAGTTTATTTTAGTAAGTAATGAAAATATCTCAATCTCACTCATTTATTTAACACAAGCTCTTCATCACAGCTCCCAGAATTCTGTTTAGACCTTATCTGAATAGCTATATTCTGAGTTGACTATCAAATTAGTAAGCTTTCTTTTAGCTCAACTGGTAGCATGACAATAATCACTGTTTTGTTAATTATCTTCGAACTTCCAAGTAATGGTCCTGCTCTCTTGAATGAGAAACTGAGGCTGAGTAGCTACAATACACATTTGCATAAACCGAGTGCCACACAGACACTGCACACCGCCTTTACACACACCGCTTTCCTTCTGTTAAGCTGCAGGATGCTAACATTATTTAATGACGAAACTGGAGCACACAAAAGTGTATCCTCTACCAGCCAAACAAGGCTAGGCCCCAAACTCATTTTCTTTCTGATTAAGTCATCTATTTATGCCAAGGGCTAAAATACAGAGAAGTTGAGACCATGGGCAACATTTTGTGTCACCCTTCCTTCCTGTATCTACCTAATTTATCCACACAATGGAACACATCCATCTTACAGACACGGAAGTGCTTTTACCCTGTGTGCTTCATCCTAAGGTTGAGGATTCCCACTTGTTTGAAGTAACAAGGAACTTTGTTTAAAATTAAGAGGTAAAACAGTTATATGCTGGATGAAAAATGATTATGTATAGTTCTATAGAATCTTGCTGAGTACAAAGCCCACAATTTACCTGGTTGTTGTTAGTTTTCAATAATGGCGGTGGGGGTTCATGATGGAGAGGTGAAGAGGCAGAGCTGCTTTCACTGTCACTGCCGTCACTCAAGCTGACCCTGAGAAGAAACACTGATCGGTCACATGACTCACCGCAGACAGAGAGTCAAGTATCGTGAAAAGCAAGGAATACAAATATCGCCACTGAGAGGCTGCTTTTGACACACAACTGCGGGGGTATGTTGATACTTGCTTGTAACTGGAATCACTTCAGGTGAATCCACTGCTGATGTGCTTTCAAAGATCCCACGCCTCACAACTGAATAAACCAGGACTTAGAAATATGTGTCCCCCAGCTCTGTTTACAGATGCAAAACGGAGACTCAAGGACTCAAAGCCCAGTACTGTGACACAAGGCTCGTGCTCAGCCGCCACCTGAGCCACCGTGGAAGGCCTCGAATTCTAGAAACACTAGTTATCATTTCTACTGTGTCACCATTCAATGATGTCACCACTACAAAACATGGACACAATAATGTGTTACAAACACACTCTGGGCACAAATTGTTTCAAACATCACTGTTTAAAAAAAAAAAAATCTCTCAGCATCCAGAGACAACAAAAATACCACTCTCTCTCTATTTAATTTTTTCCTACTCAGAATAAAATGCAACTTCTTTCTAGCTAGAGAGGAGATGGTGCTTTCTTCTGCTCCGAATGTATGCCCTCATCCAGGAGGGTGTTTCAGTATCTGCTCCCTCTCTGGTTATATAGTAACCTGATAGAATATTCTTCTCAGAGATAGCAAATGCTACAGAAATCACAACCATTTTTCTTCCTCTCTGAATAGGCAATCACATCCTCGCTCTATTATACATTCAGACAGACGCGATACAAGATAGGAAACAAAAAGGGTACACTGGGACAGCCTTTTAGCAAGAACTGATGGAACTTGTTTTTCTTAACTAAATTACATTAATGAAGTGTTCTGTTGAAGCGCTGCTTTCAAACGCTTCTCGACTGAAGTGGAGGGCTGAGTATTTAAACTGATTAAACAGTTGAGACTGCACAAGTGCTGTGAAGATCAAATGTGAAATGGAACTGTCGTACTAACAGTGTATGTCAGGTGGGGAAATAAGATGTATCCCTAAGAATGTATGTTCACATCAGGCAACTCGTAAGTAAATATGTGTGATCTAACCCACATCCACTCTGGATGGGATAGAAAGCAGGTAGATAACAAACAGCTAATCAGTTCTCCTAAACAACAACTTGGAAAATTATATGAATAAGGCATAAATTGGAGCGCGCGTGTGTGCGTGCATGCGTGCATGCGTGCGTGTGTGTGTTCTTTTTCAATAAATTAAGCTGGAAAGCAGCCAGTGGTTGGTCAAAGTTAGTTCCTAAACATCAAGGTTCAGCTCGGTTTTAGGTCCTTTTGACTGCTAGGTCAAAAGGATCAAGGAAGACATTACAAGGTCAAGTCTATAAGGGTCCTGTAAAAGGAACCTATGCACATGCATTGGGGAGGCAAGGTGCAGAAAGATGTCATGAGTCTAGCTTTGTGGCAGAGTCACTGCAGGGTCTCATAAGATTTCCATTCTATGGAGGGGCAGCTTGTTTCAAACGACACCAGTGAATTGCCGATTAGGAAATACACAGTCTGTTCCCTTTGGATTCCCTTTGTCTTAGGTATTTCAGGGCCATCTAATGGAGAAAGATTTATTGCAATATATTATAAATATAATTGGATTTGAAGTTCAAGTAGATTCATATTTTCTACTCATAACACATTAAAGTATGCATGCCTATTTGTTTTCCTCATGATAAACAAAATCCTCAAGGCAATTTCAAGTTGACTATTAATTATAAGTGACATGAATTACCATCTTCTAATGTAGAATTATGCCTCATAGCATTAAAGCTACTTAAGGAACCTAATTGTCAGCACACTTAAAAGGAATTTATTTGCTGGAAAACACACACAGGTGAACTTAGTTTTAATTAGGTCACAACATAATTCACTGGAGCCAATTATGTAGTTGTAACTACATGCAGCAAATGCCAATTCTTCACATGGGGTGCCCCCCACCCCGCCCCAAAGCAACAGGTGTAAAGCAGCTCTTCAGATGAATTTGCTGCATGTCATATATTGTCAGACACAAGGATTTCTGATATAGCTTCTTCCTTTAAAGGTTTTGGAGGAAACCTCATAAGGAAAAAAAACAAACAAACAAAACAAAACAAAACAAAACATGTCTTCTTAGAAAAATGAACACAAACATTCCGGTTTCAGAGGAAGCAGAACCGTTTGCTACACAGAGGAATATAGCCATTTGCTGTACCCACGCTTCTGTTTTAGATGGAGTCTCATGTTACCTAGACTGGCCCCAAACTTGATATATAGCTGAAGAGAACTTTGAGCTTCTCATCCTCCTGCTTTCCCCTCCTAAATACTGGGATTACAGGCAGTGTGTTAAGGATCAAACCCAGGGCTTTGACAAGACCGGGCAAACATTCTGCTGACTTAGTGGCAGACCACTCACATCTGCTGCTGGCATCTAGCTGTTTCCCACCTTTGTAGTTTACCTACTGAACCAGTATGGCTTCACTACAGGGAATCTCTTACCTGCGACTTCGACTTCCACCTCTATTTACAGGTCTTTCCATCTCAGAGTCATTGTCATTATCCTCTGCCTCATCAGACTCCTCCTCATTGTCATCAGAATGCAGATCTTTCATGATAGACCTTAAAGGACCTGAGTAATGACATGAACCACAGGCCATCAAACAAACACTTCAAACACACTTTACCATATTACACACTGTTGAACGCTTGCAGTACTAACTCTGGCTAAGAACAATTTATCCTGAACAGTTAAGACTTTGCAACCAAATTCAGGACATTTTCTGGATTACAATCTCTACTTACATATCTACTTACATATTACTGTTTCCATCATAGAGTCCCCAAAATGTTTGGAGGTGGCTCAAAAAGCACCTGCTGCTCTGCCAGAGTTCGATTTCCAGCACCCTCATGGTAGCTTATTACTCTGACATCCTCTTCAGACCTCCTCAGGCACAAGGTGCACAGATACACGGGTAAGCAAAACACCCATATACATAAAATATTTATAAAATTAAACAATCTCCATTTCATAGGATTTTTTTGAGTAAATTTTATTTCTTACCTCCCCACCCCAATTCACAACCACAAGAAAAACAGATCTATTAGTAAACAGGATGTTTTGTTAAGTTAATCCATGTATTGAAAAGCTGAGATTAATAAATCACTGTGGTTGTAGCTGGTTCTTGGAAATGCAGCCTTTGTGTGGTAGTTTCTGATCTATTAAGGTTTAGCTGCTCCTTTATTTCAAGGTCAACTTCAGGTCAAGCAAGCATTTCAGTCAAGTTCAGGTTATAAAGTGTTTCAACTCCATGGTGTAATGTCCTATCTCTGATCCTCTATTGATCTTAGAAAGCAGATCTTGTTGCAACAACTTTATGTGGCCAATTTTCACCTTACCTTTTAAGAAATTCCTAGGAATATATCAGCATGTATTTACATAAATAAGACTATGTAATAAATCATGTGCCCAGAAAATCCAGACAGTATTAGATGGGGGGGAGGAGGCTGTAACTAATTTTATTTAGGACCCGACAAAACTGAAAATACACACACACTGATTTCCTTCCACTTTACTACTCAAAATGTGATAAAAAAATAGTTATTCTTTAATTTTAACAGAAGATTGTAAGGGTACTCAAAAAAGGGGGCATTTTCATTCTGGACTGGGCAATCCCCAAGTCTAAGCTACGACAGGGCTATTTGAGCTGCCACTAAGTAGTCAGTTCTAAAACAAGCACCAACTCCCTGCAACCTCACATTCTGCAAACTCAGATTTCTCTGCTTTTGTAGTAGGCTTACTTCTTTGAAAGCTAATGAAACAAGAGTTCTGAATACCCGAAACTATCACTCCTTTTTATTATATATTTTCTTGGAAGCTTAGCCTTAGTCCAAATACACACAACAATTTAATCCTCTTTCAGAGCCTGGAAGGCCTCTTGGAATTCAGTGTAGTCAATGAGATTGGTGATGTTCACTGTGATACTAGAAAACAAGTTACTCTCTGACACTCTTCTGTTGTGCAAAAATGGAACCCACTTCTGGAGATTTTACACATACATTAAAAAATGCTTCATTATGTGTTCTGGTTTAACCTATCCAGCGTTTTGGTTAGCATGTGATTATGAGTAGAGAAAAAAAATATATGTTAAAACAGTATATGCATTTTCCTTAACAAGTCTACTAAAATATAAAAAAATAAACAAAATGATTGGTGTCCAAGGATGAAGAATGGGGGGGGTCTATGTCAGTGCCTCTGAAGTTGGTTTACGGGAGTATTTCCTTTGGGAACTCCCTGGAATGGGTTGTGTCTATAATCCATTTGTGAAATGGGAATCTGATGGCAGAGCCTGGAAAGGGGGGACTTTCTAAAGTCAGGCCTCATATATCAGAATGATACTCAAGTTCATTCCTGGGGGAAATAAACACAACTGCATAAAAGCCATGTTATCATTCAAATAATAAAACAGTAGAAGATAGGTCATAAATCAACTCATTAGGATGTTTTGTGGGGAAAATATTCCGTTAGCCTTGGGGCTGCTGATACCTTGTTGCCTGGTCTGGGATGGTGTGAAGCTGGAGCTGGAGCTGGAGCTGGAGCTGGCAGGACTCGGTTGCTCTGACTTTAGAGAAGAAGAAGAAGAAAGCATCAGCAATACACTTACAGGACACTACACATTAAAATGAATACGATCTCTGTGCTCAAAGCAGCCCCTACAGTAAGTCCGATACTGTGCATGGAAAATGACCACACATATCACTTTGCTAAAAAACTAACACAGGGGAGTTCTGATGTCATTTTTTTTGATAGCCTTGTTTTTATTAGAAGTAACACATATCAAATGTCAAGGGTGAACGATAAATGCCTGGATGCTACAGGACTTCACTCCTGCTCACTGCCCGGCAGATCTCCTCCTAAGGGACACATACCTTCACTTTCCTTTCTATGAGGTTTGATTGACTCAACTGGTTTAGACATAGTAGTCACGAGGCCAAGGTCATTAGTTCAATCACATTATGAGCCAGTTAATTTTACCCTGGTCCAAGGCCATGAACCAACTAACCCCACTCACCACAAGTTCACAAATGGAGGCTGATACTCATAATATACAGTCAAGTCCCACAAACAAGTCAGGGGAAAACGGTTGCCACTACTTTAAGAAGAAAAATACCCTTGTATTTCATGGCCTGTGAATTGGCAGAAAAGACTCACACATACACCCCACCTCTGAGTCTCCATGATCTCTTATCCATTAGTATCCATAAAAAGTTCTACATCCAACTCTTGGACATACCCAAACTCAGTTTTCTTCCTTCTCAAACCACTAACATGGTTGCAAAGCAGTTATGCTTCTTCCAAGTATGCTGCAGCACTCCAAGGTAGTCCCTATGCTGTGTTCTGCCCAGATAAACTGTAGACATGCAGCACTTGAAAAGCCATGTGCTTCTTGTTACTTCTTCCCTACTTAGCAGAACACATTGTGTACTGCAGTCCACTCTTATCTGTAACTAAAGGCAGAATTACCGTCTGTCTGTTCCACAGTCTCACAGTTTTCAGAAGAGAGTTCATGCTGCTTTAAGGGTCGAAATCAGGCGCATGGAAAGAAATGTGCAAGACATGGACCACACCAATAACATACTCGAGTTTTGCATCTTAAAACTAAGTTCATGCTTTAAGTAACTTAATAAAGCTGATGTGTTTAGTTATAAGAATGGACTATTTCTACCCATTTCTAATATCCTCATATTCTCAAGTAAATAGCTGTGTTATTTCAGAAATATTTGAGGTGTTCTCATATATGTTCTCCCCCCCCTCAGTTTATTTAATGCCCAATCCAGCTGGAATACAACTATAAGCACAATAAGAAGACACTAAATGAAAATGGCCATCTCAGTTCAGTGTATACAACAGTTTCTCACCATCAAATTCTTTTCATCTCCCCTGCCAGCAAAGGAGTGCCTCCCTTTCCCGAAGCAGTACTAAGCTCCATAGAATGGGACATGAGGAAGCACTTTTGGGCATTCCTGATGCACACTTCATATCCTCAGGATGGATGGGAAAACAGGTGTCAGCAATCTAACTCATTCTGCAGGAAAAAAGCCAGACGGGACTTCTAATGAGAAGCAGGCAGCTCACCAACTCTTCACCACTGCAGGATCTACTTGGGAATTACACAGGGTCCTACACATCACTCTTTGCAGGCTACAAAACAGAGCTGGTTTACAGGTGTAAATGCCTCTGTGAGGTGCTCTTCACTTCTGTTAGGTAGTTCTTCCATGGCTGAGCACTAATGGCAAGTTACACAATGGAAATGACATTCACTGTAATGCCCATCTGTAAAGCAGTTCTCTCAAGGCCCAAGGAGTATTCCATGTCCTCTCCAAGTTGTTCTTTTCAGCCATGAAAAATGTCTGTAAATGGTATTTTTTTAATAACCCTGGAAGCCATCTGAGAACAAAACAGAAGTTTCTTTACCATGCCTCCTGACCAGCATGTATGGCACTGGACCTAAACAATCATGCTGCCAGAACTATTTGCTAAGAATGCCATTAACTAAGGTAACAAAGTAGGGTTGAGTGTCAGGGCACATGCCTTTTACCCCAGCACTTACAAGGCAGAAACACATAGATTTCTATGAGTTTGAGGCCAGCCTAGTCTACACAATGAGTTCTACACAGTTACATAGTCCATGTTGTCTCAAAAACTAATCAATCAACCAACCTAGGATAACAAGGGAAGACAGTGTCCAATTCCCCAACTACACAAAGTTAATCTTGACCCTTCTATTTCAAGCATTATGTAGATGCCCAAACCAAACCTTTTAGCATCTTACCCACAGAGTTAACATTTCCACAACTGCTAATTATTTAAAAAAAGATAAATAGTAAAGAGAGAGAGAGAGAGAGAGTGTGTGTGTGTGTGTGTGTGTGTGTGTGTGTGTGTAATTCCAGCTACTACTAACCTTAATCCATATCTGGCCTGTGCAGACACCTGTACTCATGTGCTATACCCACATACAGACAGATACAAACGTATACATAATGGGAAAACATCTTTTAAAAAACCTCTTAAGAAGAAGGGTCAGACAGCCATGACAGCAGGGCTTGCAATCCCACAGCAGTGGGGAGGGAGAGACAAGAGATCCCTGGGACTCACTGGCTAGTCAGTCTAGCCTATTTAGCAAGTTCCATGCAAATAAGAGACTGTCTCAAAAACCAAGGGGTGCTAGGTGAGGGAAGATAGACAAAGTTGTCCTCTGGCTCCATACACTTGGACAATAGTATGGATGGTCATATGCGTATGTGAACACAAACAAAAATGCATCATGAGAAAACCACAAGTGTTAATCTACCCATAGAGATCCTCTGTATATTCTCCTCAATGGGCTTTTCAAGAATGAACTGTGACAGAATCTGGTTGTTACTCAATAAAAACATTATGAAGTTCATTTATGTGGTGGTAGATGGATTTTTTTTCTGGTGTGATAAAACACTGGCCACAAGCAACTTGGGAAGGAAAGTTATTTTATCTTAATGTCTACACTTCCAGTGACAGTCTGCCATTGAGGGAGGCCAAAGGAGGAATTCAGAGGCTAGAACTGAAGCAGTGAGCATGGTAAAACATTGCTTATGGCTCCATCACTTCCAGGCTCAATCACTTCTAGACTCATGTTCTTATCCAGCTACCTTTCTTATCCAACTCATAACTGCTTGTCCAGGGACAGCATGGCCCACAGTGGTCTGGGCTCTCCCACATTCAAGAAGGAAATGTCCCACAGACATGTCCATAGGCCAATCTGGTGTATCTAACTTGTGTCAACTTGACAAAAACTAACCTTGAACACAAACTGACCAGCACAGAGTTCACCTAAATGTTAACTACTCCAAAGTCCCTTATGAGGCAGATACAGTAATCCAATGTCATCGAGCTTACTTTAAGTGTGTTTTATTTTGAGGAAATCACATTTGCCAGCCTTTCCAAAACCCTTCAAATCAAAAGTAATTTTATAAATGATTAGTTATTTACTTTATTAAAACAAACCTTAAACTCGTCAGGTTAAAAGTTTTATAGGCCCTCCATATACAACAGCCTCCTGTCTGTCTCTTAAGAAATATTTAAATCTGTATGCTCACCTGTGTACACATAGATCTGGGAGTTATGTACCAAAAACTAAGAACAAGGAAGCTAATGACGCTCTCATCCTTTCCCTTGTGGGCTAATTTGATGCTTGTTTTCAAATTCAAAAGTCTCCCCACTGGAAAAAAAATCGTTGTTGTCCTGGATTATCAAACACTATTATAATGTAACTAATCAACATTTGGTTGCCATTATATAAGTATTTACATGTAAGAGGCCATAAACTTCACCATTGCCCAAAACAAGACATATTTTTATAGTTGGTGATACAAGAGACATATCAAGATTGGCGATACACTCTTCACCACCAAATGGGTATGAAAAATCATCCTGTAATGGTTTATCTATTGAGGATTACTTTTGCCCAGGACAAATAAGAAAACCCTTATGTTTATAACTCCTAGAAGTTAATTGTGATCACCGAAGAGGCCTGCACAAGCAGATTTCCTCCTAGAAAACACACACTGTAAGTCCTGTCTTATCAGACAGCTACACTGAATTTCAATTTTGATCTTTACAGCAATCAGAATTTAGAAAAGGGAAGTGAGGGGCATGAATGTACTTTCAGAAAAAAGAGAAAAATACAGTAAAACTAATTAAACATTTAAAAATAACAGAGGGAATAAAAACTAAACAGAAATTACTTTAGATACATTTCAGTGTTTACACAAAGCTTTTAACTACATGTAGAAAAAGAAAGTTCATATTCTGCCATAGAAATGATTTCTTTGTTGCACAAATATCTAGAAAGATCATGTTGAACATGAATGTTAAGCAAAGAAAAGTGTGTATTTCACTGTCTTTACTTCCCTTCATGACAACTGACTGAAGACTCAGCTCTTATCAGTTTCATCTTCCATTAAAAATGAATCACCCAATACATTATGCACCTTTAAACTAAATGCTATTAACTCTAGTTTCTCTCCTCTAGAAGAGTTTGAAAATTATCCACTCATTTTCCAAATACACATTTAATTTTAAGGAGTAGCATCATCACAGTCATGCTAAACAGTCATAGAAGTGTTCTCCATTGTATGAGACTATGTCAGTTAGCTATGTCAGCAAATGGCAAGGCCTAAAGTAAATGACAAATAGGTCAAGAAGATTAACACAAGATGAATTGTGTTAATGGGAATTTTTAATAAATGATTTTAAAAAAATCAAAACCTTATTACAGGGAAATACATGAAAATAAGAATGGGCCAATACTGGTTACCCCTTAACATATCTTTGTTCAGTTTTGGCATATTATTTGTTTTATTTGTTTTGTATGAGGTATTTTAGTGCGGGTATTGTGCACTAAACTGTGTCCTTTCTCATGATTTGCTGAAGCCCTCACTCTAAATGAGGGCATTCATGACTGTGAGCCTTCATGATGAGATTAGGAACAATGAAAGAAGAAACAGCAGAGAACTACCCCCACTATAGTCTCTTCCCCAGCAAGATAGCCTATACTTGCAAGCCAAGAGGAAAGCCCCTTCCAGG